ATGCAGTTATTCCACTAGTTTATATAAAGATGAGGAGAACACAACTTCAAGCCAGACACACAAACCCTTCTGTGGAGCTTCTGAGTAGGCAGGGTTTGGGAACATTTCTGATTGTATGTGGAAGGATTTATGTGCCACAAGATTTGCATGGTTTCCTCTGCCTATTTCAGGTATCAAACAAAATAAACAATCTCCATTAGCAAACTTGTTTCTTACAGATTATTAATCTATCACAACTATTATGAAAAATACTGCTGCAAAATATAAATTGTTCCCATGTTTGGATGCCTTGGTATCAACACCATTTATTTAATGTAGTTTGTTATAAAGGTGAAAAAAGGAGGCAACTGGTGGGAAGGAGGAACAAAGCAGCAAGTTGTAGAGTCTGAAATACCCACACTTCAAGCAACTTTTGCTTTGTGTCTTGATTGCATGTGTTGAGTCACTGATAGTGCTATTTAGTTATCATCATTTGTATCTTCTTACCTTTGTTCCTTATTCCTATTTAGATAACTGGGCAGATTAGGGACTGATGGAGTATCTAGTCAAGAATTCTGCATTAGAAGTGAGTCTTTCTTAGTCATGCATTGAGCTTGGCCAAGTGGCACCTCTTTTGGTTGTCCCCTGTGTTTCCATATACTTTTGAAGCAAAAATTGATACTTTGTTTCTACAGTTGTGATTTTTTAATTTTTTTTTTTAAACTTACTTCAGAGTACTCAGCATGATATGAATGCTATCTCTGTTCAAGACATTTTAGTTTTAAATTACAGGTATAAGATTTTAATTTGTTCGGTTTGTGTTAAGGATTGAGGAACAAAAAGACCTGATCTCTAATTGAATTGCTTACTACAAATTCAATTTCCAAATTTGTTACATGATTAATACAGATTTTTTAAAAAATTAAGGTTATTTCCAGTACTTCTGGAAATGCGTGTTATTTAGTACCTTTTCTAATCAGTAGTTGAATTGAAAGCCATTAATTGGTTTTATATTAACATTTTACTGCATTGCTCTTAGATGCTTTGTGGTACTTAAAACAATGTATTTGACATGAGCATTGCTAATGGTCATTAGTGTCTATAAGCAATATAAAGCTTTTTCTAGATCACGGAGTAATGAGGATTATCAGAATTACCAGGAACATACTTCATTTATCACTGTTTATACTAAAATTTCTTTGCCGTCTCATTAATGACAGGATGTTAAGGTCCAGTTCTCCTTAGTTACAGGTTTGTATGAGAGCAAGTTCAGTAGCTGAACAGTCTGAATTATGTTCTTACAGGTAACACATTGAATTGTTTAACCAAGGACAGATGGCTTGTGTGCATTTTTGGGTACACTATCATAAAATTGCTTCTTGTTATCATGGTTTTTCTCAGCTGACCCTTTTAAAGCTAAATAAATTAATAATCAGGGGGAAAAAAAATTGCAATACCTAATACTAATGATGTAGGAAGGTTGGAAAGATGCAACCAGTATACTCTTGTCACCGGTTTGTCCATCTGTTTCCATTAAAGCCAGTAGCATTTGTGACATTCATCAGAGCTTCCAAGCCACAGGCAGAACTAACCTCTTTGTTCAGTTGTTTTTGGTGTAACTGTGATTTCTAGCATGGTGATAGTGGCTTTGTCTTCCCTGAAATTCTTTCTCTGGTTTCTGCTTCTGTATTTCATGGGGGATGTGTCCCCATACAACTAGAAAAGATAGGAAATGACTGATCAGGTTTTCTTGTATTTTCTGTTAGTTCACTTACTTCTTCCACTTTCACTGTATTTGTGTTACAGTGTCATGTTTGATCTAATGGTATTAGTGAATAAAGGGAATTTTAAAATAAAACTGAAAGACCATGTAGCTATTTGCTTTTGAAAATGAGATCCTTTTCTGTCTATATGAAAAAAAAAATCAGATGTAGAAATAAAAAAGTGAAAAGGCCAAGCAGAAGGTAGAATGGACAATTTAAAATGCTGGAAATCACAATAGTGAGAAGTAGCAGCATTATGGATGGGATCAGAGCTTTCTTGCTATGGATGAGTGCAGCAGGAGCTTGTGGAAGACAACAGTTGGTAACCAGTGAAGGACTTTTTGAGAAGGAACACTATCTGCTGACTCTCTTTAGTGACATTTATTTTATTGAATGTACTCTGAATAAGTAATGAACTCTCTACCTTTCTGACACCTTGTACATTTATTTTGTTTTCTGTAGAACAGGGCTGTAGAATTATTTGATCCATGACCAAAACAGTGTTTGGCTTGCTTTGACAGTTTATCATTTTCCTTTACCTGCCCTTTGAATATTTCAACTCAGCTTACATCTCTTTCACATAACTTCTTATTTTGTGCTTATTCTAATGAAATTGAAGACTCTGCTGTCTCTGTTACTGTCCTCATACAGTGTGGTAAAGACACCTGCATTTCATGGGTAACACAGTTTATTCCTTCCATCCTTCCACCTCCTACTGTCCTGATGCCATGTTTTAGTAACTGAGAATAAAGTAGTATTTGTTACTGACTGTATTTAGCAGATTTTTTGTTGTTTTGTTTGTGTTTTTTTTTAAAAATATATTTTTCTGTTCACATCTTCACTTTGTTGGGAATGTCAGCTAATTGCAATAGCTGCATACTTCTGAGGTCATAGCATGTGGCCTGGTTTCAGAGAAGTGCTGGCTTCTAGTGCTGGAAAAGTAACTCCTCTCATCAACAGCTGTTGCCAAAAAAAATTCCCTTTGGGCATTTGTTTCTTCAGACTCTTTATCTCTCTTATAAATTCAGGAAATGTTGATATTCTGTGCTTTTTATTTGCTTCAGATGATATATACCACATTGTTTTTAAAGTGTGTGTTTTACTTTGCTGCCAAATGCTTTTCATTGCCAGTGCAGTTTAGCAGATGGGTTTGAAGGGTTCAATTAAATGTAATTTGGGCTTCCATTTTCTTCCAGCATCTTTCCATGATTTCTTAAATCAACATCAACATTTTTCAAGGCTTTGCAGTAATCTGTAGCTTGCTCTTTTCTAATAATTTCATCATTTAGTCATATAGCATTTGGAAAAAGTATATTCTGATTTTACATTTGTTATGTATTGTTGTTTGATGACTTTGAAAAATAGATGAGGTTTAAAAATTCCGTTAATAATGCTATTTTAATCCATTACTCCCAGCTTTTAGTCAATGTTAGATTCTTAGAGTGCTTGCACATCTCATAAAATTTTCTTTCCCACTTAGATAATTCCTAACGATTAATTAGTCTCTGTTGAATACTTTTTTTGAGGGATGTTTTGGACCTCACTTCCTCCCAAGTTGCCATTCCTAGTTTTTCTTACCAAGGATTTACCTTCTACAGAAGCCTCAGTCAGTGGTTACTGATTGTATTGTTTCCTAAAATGAGTTTCTTGCATGAATCTGATTTTATTGGCAGTCCTTAAGCTTAGTTAGTGTTGCTACCTTCTTCACTTGCTTCAGGAACTCCATGTAACTGCTTCTCTTTTCCCTCTTCCTCTCTGCATTGCAGCTGGTAAAGTAACAGAATGCATCTTTTCCATACTGTTAGTAGGTGTTCAAGACATGGGTAGAGGTGAGATGTCTTGCAGATAGGAGAACTATGCTAAACTTTGTGGCACAGAAACATGACAGTAGCTCTCCTTTATCCTTGCTTTAATTTCTGTGCTGAAGCGTTTTATCATCTCACACTGCACTTGTATTTAGCATAAATTAATATTTTTTCTTTCCCTTGTCCAGAAGTTGTGGTGCAGGCAGATATTTTGCTGAAGACTTTAATTTAATCTGGTTTTAAGAATGTCAGTGTTGCTGTTAACGCAGGCAGCTTTGTGATTTGTATTTTCATATGGGCTGGTTTTGATATCTGTGGACTTGTAGTAGCAGTATTTCATGCCTCATTCCATGCCAGGCTTGGAACCACAGAAGAATTATGGTAATAAATACTGTCTGTAGTCTAGGAATTAAGCAGATGCAGTATGTAACTTCAATTTGGTATTTGTCCATATTTGGATGTTCCTTAACACTTGAGCTAGTAATCAAACATGCCATTGTTAGTATTATGTTTTTATTATGAAAAACAGGAATTGGCTGAGCTCAGTTTTTGCTGCAGGTTATGTATGCCTTCCTGTGAGCCACTGACCTGTCTTTTCTTGAGTTTACTCCACATTTTATGGTGCTTTGCCTTAGCCTTATAAAGTATTGTTGCCTTGGTGAAAAAGTGCAAAAGCATGTTACAGTGCTTCAGGGACTGTAATGAATCCAAAAAGACTGATTAACTGAATCAGAAAGGTGTGGGTGATTTTTACAAGCAGGCTGATGGAATCTGTTCCCTTTTGACTGGAGAACTGGAGGGTTATTAGGTAGTTCTTTCCACAGAATTACTGCCTTGCTAATGTGACTATGGTCCCTAATAATAATCATGCTTGGTTTAAATTTCTCAAAATTTAGCAGTGATGCATGTGTAGCCTTGAAAGGAGAGATGAGAAGAAAGTTCTAGGTTATGTAATACATTATCATCCCAGGGAGAATTGTTTAATGTCAGTAAGATTTTTGGTAAAATACAGTATTTTGTTTCCATTTGCATTTCTGATTACAGTGTCCACTTAGTTTTCAATTACAGCTTACAGAGCTATGTGGTTTTTAGTTATAACCTATTGACAGCATAGTGTGGTCTGCCTTAATTACTCAGAATAAATCTCCAAGCCTGTTTACTGAAGGTTAATTTAGCTCAAGTTAGATGACATCCAGAAGAAAAGTGCTTTTCTGTGAAAAGAATAGTCTTGGTTATCAGAGTGTGTTTAGACTGTGTTTTGTTAAAACATTTTAAGTTTGAAAAATCTAGGACTGCCACTGAATGACCCAGTCCACTAGTTTCCTTCTCCTCAGTACGCATTCACTTCTGTGGGCTGAGATGTTTGTCTGTTAAATGGGACTGGGGAACAGACCTGGATGAAAGATTACCATTAAAAATAGTTTTTGAACAATTTGTTACATTTATTTTTCAGAGATGTGCATATTGTAAGCACCTTGGAGCCACTATCAAATGCTGTGAAGAGAAATGTACCCAGATGTACCATTACCCCTGTGCTGCTGGAGCAGGCACATTTCAGGATTTCAGTAACTTGTCCCTCCTTTGTCCAGACCATATTGACCAGGCTCCTGAAAGATGTGAGTACACAGCATCCAAATGGTATGATTAGTACCAGGTTTTATGAAAACTGCTCTGTGTAGGATCAGTTTAAGAGTGCATTTGTTTAGACCTGTTTTCCCAGTTCATGTACTGAAGAGTTCACGTATGTTTTAAGTGTGACAAAGATGCAAGTCCATATTCTGAGTAAAAGACTGACAGTAATGCACAGCAGAGTTTGTATTTTTCCTTGATGTTTTAGTGACAGAGCATTGGAAGCATTTACTCATTAGGCTGGTCTAACTTCAGGTTTTTGTTCAAGTTGACAGGCTTGCTTACTTGCCCTGACTCAAGTTAGAGCAATCATGTTGCAAACACTTCAGCTAAATAATAGGTTTAGATCTGTTAGGAACTTTATTTTGTACTTGTTATAAAGAAGATTTGGTCCTAAAGCTCTCAGCTTTATCTTGAGGAGAATAAAACTGTTTCTTTCTGGTAAGACTTTATTAAGGTTTAAAATTAATGTACTTTTGTTACAAGAAGATTAGTTGAATATATCAGAAAACCAAGTGAAAGGAGTAGTTATTAAATATACTAATTAAATTTGAATTTCATAAGAAAGATCAAGTTTTATATGCATAAGAAATACTAAAGAATTTCTTGGCTTCATTGGGTTCATTGAATTGTTCATTCTGAACGAAATAATAATTGAAAAAATTATTTCTTTGTAGCAAAGGAAGAAGCAAATTGTGCAGTGTGCGACAGCCCTGGAGACCTCTTAGATCAACTTTTTTGTACTACCTGTGGCCAACATTACCATGGGATGTGCCTGGACATACAAGTTACCCCTTTAAAAAGAGCAGGTTGGCAGTGTCCTGATTGCAAAGTGTGCCAGAACTGCAAGTAAGTGAGACTTAAAGTTTGGGTTGGAAGGGACCTTAAAGATCGAGTTCCCACCCCCTGCATGGGCATGGGTACCTCCCACTAGATCAGGTTGCTCAAAGCCCAATACAACCTGGCCTTGAATACTTCCAGTGATGGGGCAGCCACAGCTTCCTTGGGCAACCTGTGCCAGTGTCTCACCACCCTCATAGTGAAGAATTTCTTTGTAATGTCTAACCTAAATCTGCCCTCTTCCAGTTTAAATCCATTACCCCTTGTCCTCTCACTGTGTGCCCTTAAGAAGATTCCCTCCCCAGCTTTCTTGTAGTCCCCTTCCAGGTACTGGAGGGTGGCTAGTAGGGTGCCCCTGGACCCTTCTCCTCTCCAGTCTTTATTCCAAAAAGTGTAGATTGTTTGTCCAGATAGATCTTTTATGTTAATATATTAAGTAGCTGAACAAACTGTTTTGTTGGGAGCTTTCTTCTAAAAGAGCTGAGCTGGAACTCCTGTCCATTGTACCCCTACTGTTGCCATGGCAGGTTCTGGAGATAAGCAAAACTTTCTGACCTTTTCCTCCTTTTATACAGGAGGATTTTTATTGAATTTACCAAATTAACAAATTAGTTCAATGTAGTGCCTTTACAGTCTGGGAACCTGTGCCCTTTCTCAACTGCCACTTCAGCTGTGCGTGAAGTAGGTACATGAAGTAGCTACCTACATAAGTAGGTAGGTCCCCTGCTTTGGGCCCTCACTTCTATTTTGTAGTATCTTTCAGGGGCAGTTAATGAGACATTGTGGAAACAAAAACATGGCTTAGTTGAGCAAAGAAAAAAACAGCGGTATGATCATGATTGAATTATTACACCACACAAATACTGAGACAGCTAAACATAATTGTTGCAATGTTACAAAGTTTCACTTAGAAAACTGACTCCTCTACACATGTTCTCAGGCACATGTTCTTTTGCTTTTCAGTTGTTTTTTTAAGGGGCTTTACTTGAAGGGTTTTGTTCAGCTTTACTTGATTCAGCTGGGACAATATGAAGGAAAAATGCCACTTCACCACTGCCTCATTTACCTGATCAGTCAAGGCTTTGCTGTTTTCCAAGCAGAAAACTCAGTGTTTGCTAGTGTTCAGATTCACCCACTTTAAAGATTGTTCCCTAATCACACACGGCTGATAACAAATGCCAGCAATGAAGTTAAAGTAGTGAAGCTCATTCTAAAAAGTACCCCTAAAAATGTTGTGCTGGGTAAATACAGTATTTGCTAACAAATCTCTTTAGTGGAAAAGTAGAAGAAAATGTGGTGTTTTCACACCTGTGATGCTATGCAGTATAGCAGTTTCATGCCAGTGTTGAAGAATAGCATCTTAAGCTTATCTCCATGCAAAGAGAGAACATTTACTGTTTATTTTAAAATATCAGGTCTCCCAGTTAAGGAAGTGGTGACTAGTATGTGTAATGCTATATATTTTAAAGCTTTATCAAGGCAAGTCTTGTTCTATACTTATTTATTGGATTAATTTGTTTAAACTAAGGCAGAACACAGTGCCTTTAGATAGTACCAACCTATTTGTCTTATTTTCTGTGAATTTGTTTTATTGCGGAAGCTTGTGGTGGAGCTCTATAATACATGATTGCAGGAAAATTTAAATCTCTTCCTTTAATGTTTGTTTTGCTCTTGCAGTCATGTTGGTTGACATTGTAGGAGCTCTGGTAGTCAGAGTTGATGACTCTTTTCATTGGGAAAAACAGACTATTTGTAGGAGCAAGTACAGTGTTCTTTTCAAAAAGAAAAAAAAATGTATTTCAGATTTTGGACTGATTTCAGTACAGAAAGGTCATTAAATCTGCTTACATCTGTGTAAATGAAAGCAGGATAATTTCTAGAAGTTGGAATGGTTGCACAGGCTCAGCACCTGCTGAAATAAGCATAGTGATTTTCAGTCATAAATATGGATTTGAAGGCATTGTCTTTGGAGAGATTTGTGTTATTCGTATAATTTCATGTGCTCGGTTACATGTCTTCCTTTTTAGGTTTTTAATGAAATAGATTTTTTTTTGTTATGGCTTGTTTAAGTAATTTTTTTAATCACTTATTATTTTTCTTAGACATTCTGGGGAAGACAACAAGATGCTGGTGTGTGATACATGTGACAAAGGCTACCACACTTTCTGTCTCCAACCAGTTATGGATGCTGTACCAACAAATGGCTGGAAATGTAAAGTAAGTTGAAAGGTTTCAGAATAATTCCTTGTGATTATGGGGGCCCAAATGTTGTTATCCACATTAAAGTGTCATAGGTGTATTGTGGACTGCTGTTGCTGTGTAACGTGATTTCTGAAGGAATCCCCCTTGTGTGTAGCCACATGGCTCTGCAGCTGCTCTGGGAGGGCAGCTGTCAGTGCAGTGGCTGATGCAGCCCCATAGGGGTAAAGAGGACTGTAAGATCCAGGTGAAGTGGATAACCTTCACTTAACCTTCACAGCTGCTCTCATGATCTAATGTAAACTAAAATGTAAATTAAAACCTCTGCAGTAGTGTAGGTAATCCATTACATGAGCACTCTTTATATTCAGCTACCTCATGCTTATCAGAGCAGCAGTTCTGCAGCTCAGGGGTTTCTTTGCATTTAAATAGAGCAGGATGTATTTTTTGTTTTATGAGTAACTTTGTAAGTGTAAGTAATAACAAAAATAGGATTTCAGCATAACAAGGGAAGTCCCTGTGTAGAAGATGTATATGTTTTCATAGTATGATAGTTAAAAAAACAACTGAGATTAGAAATAAAGTTTGGTCTCACAATACTGCTTTCAAGTCACAGAGCAGTGCAAGGAGACTCTTGTTGCTGTTGCACAAGCTCTTCATGCTCTATTGTTGATTCCTGGGTAACTTATTAGTGTCATCAAGGATAAAAAACTTTATTTTATTTGATTAAAACCAATAAAATGTCAGTTAATGGCAGTACTATCAGTATGATATTGTGAAATATCATAATTAATAACTAAATTCTTGTGATCTCTAGAACTGTAGAGTATGTGCTGAGTGTGGCACACGAACGAGTTGTCAGTGGCACCATAATTGTTTGGTATGTGACAGTTGTTACCAACAGCAAGACAACTTATCTTGTCCTTTCTGTGAAAAACTGTGCCTCCAAGACTTCCAGAAAGATATGTTGCATTGTCACATGTGCAAAAGGTAAGAACCCTGATTTTTGTTTAATTGTACTAAAATGCCTAAAGCTTATAGTGAGTTGTGTGACAGGAATGCGTTTCTGTGAAGGGTGTAGCCTGTCTCTCATGAACAAGACTGTAGTATCTTGTTGGACAGCATCTTGATCCTTCTTTCCTAAACAAAATGAACAGTTGGAGGTAATCTTATTATAATCTTAGCAAGTAAATATTAATTGGCAATTACCTGAGGTGTACAGAGAAATATGTGCTGCTGCTTCTGTTGCTTCTTACATTCCATCTATTTAGTGGGTAAGCAGACTGGAAGAGTCATCATCCTAAAGACTGTTGTTTGCAATTATCTGTTTGGGTTTTTTAAAATTTTTATTATGTATTCTCTGTTTCATTTAATGCGTTTTGCTATGCCAATAGTAATAAAAAAAGATACTGTTGGGAACCTGTTAAGAATGTAGGCTGTGCTCCACGTCAGTGCTGTGCAATGTCTCGATACTGCTGGAGATGCTGTGGTGTCCATTTGGCTTTAGTGACAGTTCAGGTCTTAATGTTTAAATTTATTCACTGTTTGACATGCTGACATATCATGCTTATTTTTCTAAAAATTCTCCATAGTAAAACATAGGTTGAATTTTGTTATTTCCCCAGAGTAATGTAAAACAGTGCTATTCTTAAATTGGTTTTTACGAGGATACTTTACATTTTTCTTATTAAAATCATGATGACTCTAAATCGATCTCCCTAGGTGGATTCACGTAGAATGTGACAGGTGTCCAGGTAATGAGTTGGAGTCTCAGTTGAAAGACTACATCTGCACTCTTTGTAAACAAGGAGAAGGGGATCAGATTCAGTCATGTGATATAATGGACACTTCTGAACTCATTCCTGAACCTGACAATATAACAGGTAATCAAATGTAATCTTTATATTTCCAAAATGCTAACATAAAATATAAATACCTGCAGCTGTCTCACAAAGTCTTTTGTGAACCAGCCACTTATACTCATTACTCTGTGGAGTTCATCCATTCCTGTGTTTAGCATCAGCTTGTCAAGCAATCCATGGGTGAGCTGTCTCCTCAATATGATTTCTGGGTTTGTGGCTTCAGGATCCTGTATTAAAAATATGGGCGAGTAAGCACCTTGATGGTGATTCTCAAGCTTCCAGCTCCAGCTTCCCAGCCTGTGGCAATAAGCTTTTTTTTTTCCTTTTTTTTTTTTTTTTTTTTACTTTCTTCTTGTGTGACCGTCTGCTCATAACAGATGTTGAAACCTGATGATCTTTAAGGTCGATTCCAACCTTAACCCTTCTATGATTCTATGATTCCTTGTTTATTCCTGAAAGTGTATCTTTCTGGACAAGGCTCCAAAGCCCTTAGTCCTTCAGAGGCAACTAAACAGACACTAAACAGACATTCCCTTCACTGTTTTTTTATTTTGTTATTTCAGTCTCATAGTGCCCATTTTCCTCAATGTGTCCAGGTAGGACACGGCAGTGGAAGCTGGACTGTGGTCAAGGGACAGGTATATTTAACTAAAAAGCTTTTAGCAGGTGTCCTTTTTCAAAATAATATATGATTAGTTATTTTGTTTCTGAGAGATTCTTACCGAAGTAAACGTATTAAGCAAAAGATGGAAAGGGAAGTTGCAAAAAAGTGTATTTTTAAAATAATTATTCAGTAACATAAGGAAGCACAGAGAGAGCTTGGATCTGTTGATCTGAGTCTGGTGGGTCATCCACAAGACCTGTGTAATCTGAATGCCTCTGTGTATTTCACACCATGTGCTCTGGTGGATGGCATGTACTCTCATGCAGGCTGAACTTCCTCAGAGAAGGACAGTTGTGAATGAGTTTGGAAGCAAGATAAAATCTTAACAGATTAACTGCACTGCCTTGTGCATTTTCAGTGCTTAAACAGCAGTGGTTAAGCATTGGTCTTTTGTTAAAAGAAATTGAAAAGCTCTGTTTTAGAAGGCATCTCTATTGTCAAAAGCCTGGTAATTTTTGACTGGAAAGGGGAAGTGTTGGAGCACAACACAACTTAATTTTTTGTGTGTTCAAGCCAATGTTTTGTGTAAACAAATTCCTTTGATTTTAGCCTGCACATGTAAGGGCAAACCTTTCATGAACAGTAAAGTAATGGTTAAAAAGATAACCCTGGAGGAAAGGCAGTGACAGTAGGTAAATGTATATGAAAGAGCAGAACCCTGTCAGTGAACATGTGCACCAAGTTAGAAAAAGTGGCAACTTCAAACTTTGAAGATCACTTCCTTTCTGAAAGGTTAGCAGAGACTGTTGGACTCTAAGGCAGTGTATTTAGAACATTTAGGGAGATGTCTGAGTAATATCCAAAAGCTTACAGTGGAAAAATTCCCAGTCTTCTACTGAAAACTCTTTTGTATAAGTAACAGGTTTATTTGAAGACTAAAGTTTGACTTAAAACTTCTGTTAGGATTTCTAGGTAGTAGAAGCAGTAACAGGAATACTCTTCTCCCCAAGGAAGAACAGGACTGTCATCTCAACAACTGGGAGTAATCTGGAGCTATTACATCAGTCATACAGTGTTTTATACCCAGGAGAGTGCTTTTGTACATTAAAAATCAGATTTGGAGCCAATCTAAATGATCATTTACTCAAAGTTACTTTAAAGCTGACAGTCTGAGAGCTGTATCTAGGTGCTAAAAGTAGCATCACCTAATAGTTCCTGGCTTTTTGAACTCTATAAAGACACTTTTCTGAAAAGAAAGCTATAATAGTTTGACTTTTTTTGCCCTAAATTCCATGGAGGATCTGTTCCTTTTGATTTGACACTTAGCATACACTTTGGTTTTTCTGTTCCTACTTTGTCTGGTGCATATTAATTAATTTTCTTCACTGGAAAAGCTTTTACATGAGGAAAAAAAGAAATATTTCCTGGTTTTGTGTTCTATAATGATACTGTCAGCCAAAGAAGCACTCAGTAGTGCCTTTTCCATGCAAAATTCCTTTATTTAATATGAGGAGCTCACAGATTAAGGTATCCTTGGTCTAAAGTAGCAAAATTTAGTTTTCATGTTGTTGAACAGGTAGGTTGAAAATCAGTGCTGCTAGTACATGTTCATATCTATGCCGTAAGTAGCTGTCGTATTTGTATAAAAATTGGAAGTTCTGTTGAATTTAGCACACTGGAATCTGAGAAGAGACTTTCTTGTATTGCTCAGGTAATTCAAGAGTCTGTGACCATGTGTAAATTAAGTTTGCACAGTGAAGTGTAAATAATTGCTTTACTGACATTTTCCTCTACCTGAGAGGTATAAAATAGCTTCAGTGTTAATTAGAAAAAGGCTCTTAAAGGAGCACTGTATAGTCTCTCTAAGTTTCTCAATGACCTGATTAGTCCTAACTCCTATCATTATCATGCTTTTTAGCCAAAAGGTCAAACAGTGACAGCAACTACTGATGTCAAAGTAATAGAATAAACATCATAGCAATTTTGGTAACTTCTTTGCTTCTCCTTAAGCTTGTACAAATGAAATGGAAATGGAAAGTGGTGGAGAGGATGTGACGTTTCAGGAACAACCCATTACTGGTGATGGCCCTGGTCAAGAATCTGCTGTTGGATGTATCACAGCTGGTAAGAAAGAGCTTTGCAGTCTGAGAAAATGACAGTAATGAACCTTTCAGAACCCCCTTCCATTCCGTAAGGTTTCTGGTATTTTATAGATTTAAGAGGAAAAAATGTATGGAAAAGCAGTAAGAGACAAATTGCATCAGTTCTACTATCTGAACTCTCAAGCAAGGTATTAAGGTTTTTGCTGAAGACATATTTTATTGACAGCAGACATAGTCTTCAGAGTATTTGTGTAGGACAATGTTTTACTTTTTTTGGTGGGGCTGGCTTTCTCCAAAACCTGGAAATAAACTTAAAAACTTTTGTACACTGGAGGTTTATAGTAAAAACCATCATTTGTTGCTATTCAAATACAGCCACTCACACTTTCTCTTCAAGTCTTTTCTGTTTGTAGCTGCAAATTAATTTCCGCATGTGTGTTCTGGGACACACCATAAAGGGTCAAGCCCTCTGTAAATGTGTAATTGACTGATATCAATGGCAAAGAACTTCCCAGCGTGTCCCATCTACTCCAGCTGATGTTGGAGGGTGGATACTATAAGGGAAAACAAGAAACCTGAATTTAAATCCAGAACGACAGAAAATACCTTGCGGGTTAGCTATGATCATTCTGTTATATATCACAGCTGTCATATAAAACTATCAGGAAAGACACATTCATAATAAAATACTTGGCTTGGAACTGCAGTGGCTGAGGAGGTTGTAGCAGTGTGAATTTAATAAGAGTGCAACAGAAAGTAAGTGGTCTGTAAGAGAATCAGGGTCCATTAGAGAAAGATCTGATACACTAAATTCAGAAAAAAAGAATGTGGTTCTCCACGGAATGAGTACAAGACTGGAACTCCTTGATGAAGAAAGTTGTGGATGGAAGATGCTTGATTTGGTTCAAGAGGTGCTAGAAGAATATTATTGAAGGAAATCCATGAGACATGAGCAAATTAAAAACAGCATCAATTGTTTTCATTGCAGGTGATCTCCTAAGATCTGAAACAGCATTAGGAGAGAAATGTTTTTTATTTGTGCTTCTTCTCTTCTTCTTAGCTGTCTTCTTTTTGGAAGTGATGGAACAGTTGCTTAAAATACATTAATTTATGCTAGCATACTTCTTCAATACACAGAAAGGAAAAAGAAGAAGCTACTTTTAGCTGCCTACCTGGAAATGTGTGTTCAGATTCCTCAAAAATTAATCTTGTGGTTACTTTCTTGTGATTTACTCTGCTGTGTTTCCAGGGAACAAAAACAATGAAATAAATACATAGACTAATAAAAACATGGGTAAAAAGAAAAATATTTATGAAGTGTATTTTAAGCTACATAGTCAATTCACATGAGTAAAGTGATACATAGTTGCTCACTTGATGTGTAGCACATATACTTGTTGACCAGTACGCCTGTGTAAGTTTTACTTTTTCACACTGAGCCTTTAATGTGGTTGTACTTAGTTACAGGCATATCACCAGAAGAGAAGACCACAAAACTGGAAGCAGAAATCTCTGAAATTAATTCAGCTGAAATGGAAATGTCTCCTAAAAAGACACCAGCATCTGGTGACAGTCAGACTGAGATAATGATGGAAGTGATGGAAGGTGTTCCAGCTGTAACACAGCAGGAGTTAGAAAAACAAGTGGAAGAGACACAGCTGCCACAAGGTAGTGTGGAGGTATCAGAAGTATCCACAGTAGACTCTCGGCCTCTGTCTTCAGTACCTGAGGCCATAACTGTGACACCACAAGTACAGGAGACTGAAAGTAAAGGAGATATTTGTGTCCCTGTAGAAGAACAACTGGAAAAAATAAATGTGCAAAAAGATGTAGAAAAAGGAGAAACCCATGAAAAGTCAGAAACACCAGCTCTTCTAGAAGCAGAAACTACTTCTGCAAATGGAGGTGTTGCAAATAGTTCACCAGTTGGAGACAAACCCATAAAATCACCAGCTGAGACTTATCCCTCACTTCCTCCACCAGTTAATACAAGCAAGACAAACGTGTCTTCCTCACCAGATGTTTCATTAGACTTGCATTCTGCACGAGACGTACAGCACAGTCAGCCCCCAGCATTGCCTTCCACTGCTGGAAGTGCTCTCCCAACAACCTACATATCAGTTACTCCAAAAATTGGCATGGGAAAACCAGCCATCACCAAACGCAAGTTTTCTCCTGGAAGACCCAGATCAAGACAGGTAAGCATGTGGAATTATCCATTTACCCATTATCCTTCTCTGAAGAATATAGTTCAAATTTCAGTGTAATGCATTAAATTCACTTTTATTTTTTAGGACATAGTATGGGTGTATTCTTCTAAGTGAGTGTGTAGTTTACTTGTTTGAGGTAATTTCATTTTAAATAATTGAGAGATCAGACATCACAAAAGTTCTCTAGTGAGAATCAAAGTTTCTTTGAGCTCATGCTTAGAGCAAAATACAAGGAAATCTCTCTAAGTGAGTGTGTAGTTTACTTGTTTGAGGAACAAAAGTTCTCTAGTGAGAATTAAAGTTTCTTTGAGCTCAAGCTTAGAGCAAAATACAAGGAAATCTTCTATTTTTAATACATGTGCTACAAATGAAGATATGTATAATGCTGTGCCTTTTAAATTCTTTCTTGATCTTTTTCCTGTATGCATTTATTTTGGCTAGTACTCTCAATGTGCGTTAATATTTCTGAAACTGGCTTTATAGAAAAACCTGCAAAAACGCCCATTTCCATTGTGCTGCCAGATATTATCTTGATGAATATTTTTAATGGTATTGCGGATAATTTCATGGTTTTTTTACACTGCCCTTACAAATACCACATAAGAGCTGTCTGGTACAAATGGTTGTGCTTTGACTGGGATTAACTTTGATAAGTGAAAAGATTCCTTGACTCGGTCACCTTCTGCAACATCTTGCTCTCTATTTCAGTCGTGTTGTTGTGGGGATAATAGTTCATCAATCTATAGGATTTATTTTGTGTTTGTGAAATTCTATACAAAAAAGTATGTCAGTGTGACAAATTAGTGCTTCACTTCTGTTCTCATCACAATTTATTTTTAGTCTTTGGGACTTCTAGGTTGATGATTTCAGGCTTTTCTGAATTTAATGTTAAAAAACTTTGTATGTATCACACAATTCTTTCCATTATTTTGTTACCTGAGGGTTCAACATTCTTGGTTCTTAAGAAAAGGTATGAGATAGTGTTCTGAAAGTGCTAAAGGTTTATTATAAAGGCAACAAATATAAAAATTAAATTTGGAATATTTTGAGTATCTCTGGGGTTTTTTTATCCTCAAATACAAGCATATATAAAAATAATTTTTCTTAATACTCTGTACTGTCTTTAAATTAAATTTATTTTCTCAGTTTGTCATGCAAATTGAGGAAGGGTGAAGTCCTTAAGCAGTCTAAAATTAATTCAGGTTTTCTGTTATGGAAGTTTGTCTTCTGTCATTTTCCCCTTAGAATTGTATTTATTTTTCTGTGCAGTTTGGCCCTGATCTGCAGGGGAACCATCATCATGATACTGGTAATAAAATTAGTTAAACAGCAGAGAACTCACTGAGGAAAACATGAAGGCTGAACCCAGCTTTAAATGCCTGTAGCAGAATAGATATGCATCTTAAAACAAACAAACAAACCAGCTATAAAAGTATCAATTTGTCTGTTTATGTACAACATAATATAGAAATTAACCACTTAATATGTGGTGTGAGTAATGCAAATAGAACTGAGCTGAACTGCAGTTTATAAGTCAGGACCAACACAAAATCCTGGCTGTGATGCTGAATCAATATAATCTGTCCAACAGTTTGAAAATTATATTTTAAAATAAAAAGGTACTGTAGCAGCTTAGCACTACCAGTTGTAGAATTGGACAAGTTACTTGAAGAATTCATTATCTGTGTTTTAAAAGTATGTTGAAAAGTCTGTAAAGGTTTCTTTTGATTTCAGTTATCTTTGTCTCGCATTACAAACCACCTATTAAGCTGGAACTTGGGTGAATTGAATAGCAATTTTCTGGTAAGAAAAGCACACATGTACTTTGTTGTCAGTCCTATATGCTTTCTTACTTTCCATTGATTAGTCAGTTGTAGCACAGATAAGCACCTCATGGAAATCGGTAAAAAAATTTCTTCGGTAACGACTAAAAGAAAAATAAGAGCCTGCAGATACTTGATTAGTGAAAAAAAATGCACTTGTTCTGACCAGTAATCGAAGTTCAACTTAACTAGTTGGCTGAGAGAGTTGCGGCTGTTCAGCCTAGAGGAGAGAACACTCCAGGGAGACCTTATAGCACCTTCCAGTACTAGAAAGGGGCTACAGGAAAGCTGGGGAGCGGCTTTTCGTCAGAGAAGATAGTGATAGGACATGGGGTAATGGTTTTAAACTGAGAGAGGGGAGACTTAGGTCAGATATTAGGAAGAAATTCTTCACTCTAAGGGTGGTGAGGAACTGGAATGGGTTGCCCAGGGAGGTTGTTGATGCCCCATCCCTGCAGGTTTTTAAGGCCAGGTTGGATGAGGTTTTGTGCAGCCTGATCTAGTGGTAGGGTTCCCTGCTCATGGCAGGGGAGTTGGAACTTTATGATCTTTAAAGTCCCTTCCAACCTTTATGATTCTATGATTCTAAGGATTTGCCTTTGGAACTTTTTTCAGATTCTTCATTGGTTAGTTTTGTTGATCTCATTTTCCGTGTTGGGCATGAAGATGGAAGTCTCTTACTTGGAGATAATGTGTCTTGAAAAAAAGATAAAAAGCCCATATGTAATTTATGTTTTCTAAAAACAGCTTTATTATTAGAACTTTCTGCTTCCACTGAGTTTAGGAATTCTGTGTTAATTTTGCTGTAGTTAGGTTTTTCTAGATCACTGTGCAGTAAGGTATATATCATATTTGCAGAAATGTTTGAACAGTGAAAAAAGTATCTCCTGTGCTGGGAGTTTGCTGTGTAAACCTCCTACTTTGGGCCTTTGCTGAGAGACTGTCAAGTAATAGTCTGTAGATTATGAATAAGACATTAGTAATGTCAAGTTACAGGTAAGTTCTTTCCTTTTGAGCAAGATGTAATAGGACAATTCCACAATAGTTAAGGCATGTATTTAAATGTTTTAGCATTGGAATTCCACAGAGAAATTGGTTTAGGTTTGGGTTTGTTTGTTGTTTTTTTTAAATTATTATTTTTTCTGTAAATGTTAATTTATTATTTTTTTAAAGAATTGTGTACTTTTCCAAATCAAGACTTGTGGATATGAAAAGAAGCTTCTTAAATGTACTGGATCATCAAAGAACATCTTGTGTTTTTATCTACTTCTGCTCATTTTATGTAATCTTAAAAGGTACACTTTACATATAGTGATTTTTTTTGTTGTTAATATTTGTTCTAGTTCTCAGGAGAAAAAAAGGCTACATTTTTTTCTGATACTTGTGCCAGCAGCCCCATGTATGACTTCCTTTATAAGAAACTCATTAGCATGTTAATTTTAGGGGGTTTTCTTTCAATTTGCAAAATAATACATAATGCTGTTGAGTTGCTTTGTGTCAGGAGCTAGATTATGTGATACAAATGTTATCTTGTAGCTGAATGAGCTCTTAGCAACATGTGGTAAAGGGCAGTGAAATAATAGAGAAAAGTTACACAAAATACTGCTTGGTGGGTTATGTTAATTAAAGAGGTTGTGTGTCCTGTACTTCGTGAATTAATGTTGGCTCTGCAGCTGCTTTATTTTGTTGCACTGAGGAACTGTCATTGCAGAACTAGTTGCTTGTCCAGGACTGCACAGGTTTAAAATACTTCTTTAAGAGTCTGATTACTCTGTGGACCCCCCAAGACAAGCCAACATTAGCCAGTTTCCACACGTAGCAGTATTATCCACTTTCTCCTAGAAGATTTTAATCTTTTAATATGTAGCTTACATGTTGGAATGTCCAGTTCCTGTTTAAAAGACATTTTTTACTATGAGGGTGGTGAAACACTGAAGCAAGCTGCCCAGAGAGGTGGTAGATGCCCCATCCCTGTAAACGTTCAAGGTCAGGCTGGATGGGGCCCTGAGCAGCCTGATCTAGTTGAAGATGTCCCTGCTTACTGTAGGGGGCTTAGACTAGATGACCTTTAAAGGTCCCTTCCAACACAAACCATTCTATCATTCTTTGATTTTTAAAAATTTAAAAAAAAAAAAAAAAAAAAAAAAGTTAAAAAATCCATTGCAGGGGGTTTATGGAACTTCCTAAGAAAGAGAATATGGAAAAAAAAAAAAAAAAAAAAGTTAAAAAATCCATTGCAGTGGGTTTATGGAACTTCCTAAGAAAGAGAATATGGAAAAAAAATTATGTGGATCCTAAATATATTACTCCTCAATTTTGTAAGATACATGCTTCACTGGAGTCAGGAGATTCCACATAAAGGAGCAGTTTCTGATTTTGATTTGTTTTCATTAAATTAAAAGTATTATGCTGAGCAGTAGGGTGATTATCCCTTTTCAAAATCTGTTAATACGTTTGCTAATAAAATACATTTGAATAATCAGTCAGTTTCACTATTGAATATAAAGTTATGCTTGATTAGAAGTTATTTCCTCTGTTGGATCTTAGCTTGTGTTTGTGGAAGGCTTTAGAGATGTGTCTGCAACATCACTACATCACTACTATTTTGAAAGGACTAAAACCCATCTCACAATCTGTGAAGACAATATTCTGCCTAAAAAGCCTTCTTGAGTCTGTTGCGGGGCTGTACTACCAGTGTTGCTGTCACCACCATCCTCTAGCAATTTTGCAGGCATCACTGTTTTGTTAGAAGCAACAGGAGAAAAATCCATCTTTGAAACAAAAGGGGAGCTACGTATAAATCAGCATGTAGGTACAATTATACTGATAAGAATTACTTTGGCTGGTACAAGCTTATTCTACTCCAGAGAGTGTGTTTTTTCTGTGTCAGCATAAGAACTCCTGTCACTAAGGTGCACTTCTCCTAAGTGTTAGTTAGGATAGCATATTATCCATACATTCAGCTACAGGTAAGCTTTAAATCTGCATCCAGCCCTGTTGAGATGATCCTCCACCTGCCAGGCTTAGCATTTCACTGACTTCCCATGGATTTTGGTCCATGGACTCTCTTTTCTGTTTCTGTTACCCTATTCCATAGTGGACCCAAATTGGTTTGTACATATATCCAATATTTAGTTGTTCATAGATCAGAGATACAAAAAGTGTGATAAAATTTTAACACTGCTGTCCTCAGAGTTGTGTCAGTACAGTGTCTTCTCCGTGGAATTTGCAGGTTTTCCACCCTTGCCTATAAGCTGCTAATTTATGCCATTGGCAGGACCTCTCCAGTCTTTTTCATAGCTCTGCTTTCTGAAGCAGTAGACTGGTGTATATCTAGTTTTAAACAAATCTTCACAAGGAAAATAGGTTGTTTTTTTGTTTTTTTTTTCCTCTGGAGGTTTACTTAAAATGGTGTTGGGTTTATTCTGTCTATCCAAATTGAATATATTTGAAATAGTTATTTTTACTACAGCACTGTGTACTGGAAAGCATAATTGAAATAAAAAAAATTGAGGGTGTTACAGGATAGGTGGCACTGTAAGACTGTAGTTTAAAGAGTTGAGAATGGTCTGTAGAATATTGACTAGAAAATAGTAACCTTCTACTGTTTTTGTTTTACCCTAAGAATTATATTAGGTTGCATTTTATGGAAAATGCTGTCGTTGGGGGTACTTCATGTTCACCATGAAGATATTGATTATCACTGTTATACAGTTCACTACATATTTCTAGGTGTTTTAAGAGAATTTTTTTAATGATACTGAAAAATGCAAAGCACCATGATGGGTTTGGATATGTGTTCTGTATCGGGTATTACAGGGGGTTTTATGTCTTCAGTTACAAGGGTACCACAAAGTATGTCATAGTGGTTGGACATTGAATAAGATTTTTAAAGGGTCTTTTTCAACGGTTAATTTTTTTAATATTTTTTGTGTGTGTGTAGTGTTGTTTTTTTCTGAGGGGAGCTGTATTTTGCACAGGTTAAATTTTGTTCACAATCCTAAAATTAGATGAAACATAAAAATGCAAATCCAGGTTTGCACATTTGCAATTGCAGTGGATTTCATAAAGCATTAAGCAGCTAAACACAGTTGGTGGTAATTTAGTGAGATTGACTGACCCTTCTGACACTGGGTTTCCTTTTGTTACAATTTACTTGCAGCTGCGTTGTTCAATTTCAAGGACTCACGAATATGATGGAGAATTAGAACTTCCTGTTTCTGTCACAATACATAATTATTGCCATGGTTCTGATATAAATGAACTGAATAGAACTTTCCTTTCAGTGTTATGTAGTAATAGGCATTAATTAAAAGCCAAAGTATAATTAATGCATCTCTTTGATGTAATTCATTTGCTCGTAGTATTGTGGAACTGTGTGTTTTTAATTAAGTTTATCTGACTGAGAATTCAAATGTTTTTGATCTACAATAAAACCTGGATTAAATTTCCAATTTAATTCTGAACAATATGGTTCATGAATCATATACAATTAATTTCGTTTCGCAAGACCAAATATTTCATATTCAGATTTAATATTCTATTAGCTTTATATTCTTTTGAAAATACTCAATCACTGAAGAAGTGTATCTTCTTGGAAGGAAGATAATTTTGTGTGTCCCAAATAAGTAGGTATTTTTAGTTGTTGATTAAGTATTTTCAGCATGATTGAGATCCTGAATTTTTACCCTTAGCCAGCACACTGCTTCCATTATAAATTGATGTAAAGTTTGATTCTGTGATACACAGGTTTTCCTTGTGTTGCTCTACAGTTTTTTTTCAATTTGCCATATTATAAGAACAGTTACTTGCTATGCGTTATGAATCTTATAAATATAAGGAAGCTGTAACTAAAATTCTATGAAAGTTTTAACTTTGTCTTGGTAAAATGGAATGTTCTTTGATACTAAAAATATGGCCAGCCTTGTAAGGGTAAATATTGCCACAGACCTGCTGATGTGGCTGCTAACTAGTGTGGCAGTGCTTAGTAAAACCATGAGATTTCAATGGAGAACTGATTAATGAAGTACAGAGCTCTTGATATAACAAAATCAGACTTCAGTCCTGCCATTTCTGTGTGGTGAAAGTTGCTGTGGTCTCAAGGAATGGGATTCATGCAACCACAGATACTTGCAGTGTTACAGACCTGCTGGAGTCACCTCAAGGTTCCTGCTAGAGTCATGGGAGAGCAGTACAGGCATGTAGGAAAGGTGAGACTGATCTCCTTCATCCCATGCATTGAGTTGCCCTCTGCAAGTACCTGTTTCCTTCTGCTGAGCATGCAGGGAGCCCAGGATGGTTGAGCACAGGTAGAGCGTGACTTGTGTTTCAGAGGAGTCACCCCCCAGGACTGTGTGTTGGGCAGGTGGATCAAGCCTCCATTTCTGTGGAAGTCTGCTTGCTTTCTTTCCCTGTTTCTGACTGGGTGCAGTTGTGCTTGTTGCATCATGAATGTTACTCCCTCACATCCTGGATGTGAACAAGGACTCCTGCCCATCTCTAGGTTTGCAGGGACAGAAGGTTTCTGCTCAACACTATTCACCTGTTAGAGGCTGTTGATCCTTCTGAGGTGGCAGGTTGTCTGTGTGATGACCGTCTAACTGAAGTCAAGCAAAAAACTGGCATAGCAGAATCTTACAGTGTAAGCTGTTGAATCAAGAACACTCACTTTATTTACCCCAAGTGCAGGTGAGCAGTTGCTGGCACTAGTTCAGCTGGAGTGTTTTTTGGAAGCTCCTTGACAGAGGGAGAACAATGATAAGAAGTTGAACATGCAGAGGTGATCTCTGGCCACTAAGCAGTTTATAGGTTGTATGTCTACATACTCCCTTGTGTGGACAAAATTTTGAAGAGGTAGGGTTTTTTTGTTTGTTTTTAAAGAGCTACATTGTGCATATCCCCTTTCCCATCCAAGCATAGCTAAACTCCTAGGAAGCAGACATACTGAACAGCACCATGTCCACACTTTGGGTTGCATTTTTTAAATGCATCTTTTCTGAATAATTAGGCTTTTAGGTCACTGGCAGACTTTTTCTTTTGAATCTATTGTGCCAGTTTGAATACTGAGCTATCTGAGCAGCTGTAGGTTAGTGCCTACTCAGCTCTGCAGGCAGAAGGTATCATAAGAGCTCTTGCTCATCTGTTTGGGGGTAAGTGAGATATTGGCCCATACTCACCTTCATCAGCAGATTGAGCTAACCTGACAGAGCCTTACATGGGTTAGGGAGGTCTTGCCCATGATCCTTCTGGCCTGAAACCAGTTGAAGGGTAGCCCTATTTTCAGTCAGCCCAGCTGTTAGCAAAATACCCCTTTACAATCTGAGATCAGTATCTATTTTGCTGAGTTGTTGATTCCAAAGAAACTGTTTCCCCCACATTCTTGATGGAGAATATTTCATTGCAGAAAAACCAAACACATTTTGCAAAGCTCCTTGATGCTTATAGACCAGTATTCAAAGGTGTAAATGTGTTGGGGCTTGCCCATGTGAGCAGTTAATGCACATGTGAATAGTTGGGACTACTATTATGCATGGGGGTATTCTGTATTATCCGTGTGATCCTACTGCTGAATGTCATTCCCAAGACTTCTCATCTTGGGGTTTGTTATTCTTAGTATCACAAACTTAGAATTAGGAAAAAATATTATCCTTTAACTACTCTAGTTTGTAAATTTAGAATGAAGTTACTTAATAAGTCATTGATGGCTATCTCCTGCAGTCTTGAGGAAGACTTCCACAGATTTTAATGCATGTGAGGAACTTCAGTGGGGTTTTTTCTTATCCATCTTAGCACTTTCCTTCCGTTTTTCCGTATTTCTTGGGACAGTTATACAGTATCTCACCATGGTGGGAACTATATAAATAGGGATAATAATTAATTAGTTAAAAAGAGTTTGTTTGTGTACTATATGGATACATATATATAATAACATTGTAAAATTTGATACCACAGCCTAACATGAAGACACTGGGGTGAAAAAAATCTTAGTAATGGGGTTTTATAATGGTTTATTTGTGGCAACCGTGCAGGAAAGTGATACTTGATTAATTAACATAGCTATTTTTTTCTTTTTTTCCAGTGGTTTATTTCTATTCCTTTTGTTTCACAGGATTATCAAAGTAGTTGTTGCCATGGTTGTCAGTAGTTTAGACTCAAAAGTCAACTAAGGCCATCTGTTCTTTCAAAATGTGATTTGGAGTGTAAAAGGGGATGTTCCAATCTCAAACTTCTGTCTTCATTTGATGTAATAACATCTAGGGACGTAACTGTTGTTATGATTGCTTGCTTTTGCTTTGTATTGTGCTTTGTTTATAAAATTAATTTTGTTGTACTTAACCATCAGTTGGAGGTTACTGTTTGTTTTAGTGTATGTGTCAATGAGAACCTAAAGATTCCCAGCTTCCTCTCACTCAGTGAACTAATGGACTACTTAAGTTAACATAGAACTGCCTATGCCTGCATGTGCTTTTTGCTTTTCAGATTTGCTTTTGTTTTGTTTTGTTGTTGCTTGCTTCTTTTCTTTTACTTTTTTTTTTCCTTCTTTTTTTATGTTGCAAAGTTTTATACATCTATTTTCTCACCTACCATATCCTAGGGGGCTTGGAGTACCAATAATACAGTCAGCCCACCTTCCTGGTCCCCAGACATTTCAGAAGGTCGGGACATTTTTAAATCCAGACAGCTTCCTGGCAGTGCCATTTGGAGCATCAAAGTGGTAAATAATTTGAATTTATTTTCATGTATCCATTGCTATCTTTCTGCTGTATAGACTAGTGATGAAATTCTGCATCTCATGACTGAATTAGTTTTAAATTCTATTACTGTTTAAGGCCTTTAAAAATTACTTTCACTCTGGAGCTTTCACGTTAAAAAACGGATGCTTTCCAGAGTAGGGTGGCATTGCCCTGCTTTTCAGTGGGAAAGAATAGCTTGTATTACCTATTTATTTTTTTTATGTTGAGAACTTTGCTTTTTGTGGTTGGCTTTATATAGCTGTCAAAATAAATTACCTAAGAAGAAAAATGTCCTTAAGACTGGCAGTGAGGTAAGCCAGGCATGGAGAGGAGCAGAGACCTGAAGGGTGGCTTGAATTTGTTGCTGTGGAGAAATCTTGCAGAGTGGATTCAAAGTGACATTGTTTTTAGCTTATGGGGGAATAAATAACAGTTTTTCTACCTGATTGGACTGACCAAAGCTTGTATCCACAGTGACAATTACCATCAAAAATAACTGAAGATACTAAGTAGAATTATTATTTTTTGAAAAAGGCAAGAAAGCTATGTGACAAAATTCTGACAAATAGCTGTAGCTTCTCAATGGTTAGTTTTCATCTTACTTTAACTGTCATGCTGATTTTATTTTAATTTGACATTAGCTTAACTTTTGCTGCTTCAAGCGTTAATTTTCAGCTTAATATTCAGCATTAACATTGGTAAAACTTACGTGCTTACTCCTGTTACTAGTTGTGTGAAAATAACAATACTGATACCTGGTCTGAAACAGAGGAAACAAGGAAGATGCCAGAAGAGTTTTTATCTTTTTTTAAAAAAATAAAATAATTACGCTTGTATGTCCTGTGTGTGCAAATGTATTAACTCCAGATAAATGTAAGGGCAATATTTTTTGTTTCACCTTAGTACATATAAATACTTCAGCCATCAGTAGCATCCTTCCTTTCACTTCCTAAAATAGTATTGCATTACCTCTTTGTGTAAAACCAAGTCAGTTTGATTTCTCTTTCCATTAATGTAAGGTTGTTAATAACATTTTAACATAGGGATGCATTGATTCTCCCTTTAATTATGACCATTCACTTCTGTATCTTCTTTGAAACAGGAGTTGGTATATTTGGAAAATACTGGTGGTAATATTGAGTCCACAGGGCAGCTTTCCATCCAGGGAACTCCTGTCTCTGGCACTGGTGACACTGTCCCCAAGGAGCTTTGTGGTTCCATCAGTGTTCTTTTATTCAATAAATATTTTGTCTTAGTATTAAAAGTAGTTTCCAGCAAACGTTTGGATACCAACCTTGTATCTAGATACTGTGTGGATGTAGTCGGGCTGTATTAGGAGATGGGATTATTCACAAATTTGAAATGCAATAAAAAGTCTCATTGTTTAATTTGTAGTAGGAAAGGTACTTATGTGAGACCATGCCATAATTATTGTAATTTATAGAGATCAGAAACTCTGAACCATTTTGCAAAGGTGTCTGACCTACCAGCCAGTATTGACATTGTCAATATGTTCTTTTTCTCTCTGGAAAATTATTAAAGAGGATTAAGTATCCTCTGTGTGTTTGGTTCATTTTGAAATTAAAAAAAGAAATTAAATAACAGTATTAATATCAGGTAATTATTAGTAAAAACATACTTACTTTTCCACAGTTAATTGTAGTTCAGCGTACTTTGAATGCTCCAGAGCACACAACACTGCAACTGTATGTCTGCATTTAAAAAAAGAAAAGGCAAAAAAGAAGCTCTCCAAAATTAAGTGGAGGTTTTGTAAGAAAAACATGATGATAAAGGAAGTGTTGACCTGAGTGTAATTGATATAATTAATATAAAAAGCTCTCTCTGTATCTGCTGAATTAAGGTAGTTTAGTGGAGCCAGCTCATGCTTAACTTTGGGAACAGAACTGAGTCCTAATAAATTCCAGTGTTTGCTTGATTATTCGTAGCATAATAAAAGCATATATGAGTGCAGGTAATCAAGTGGCGAGACCTTGTTCATAAGTCCCATGACTGTGCTGACTGTTTAAAGACAAGATAAATTACTCAAAGAATAGAGGATATTAATTTTGGATAATTTTCTATTGTGGAAAAAAACCCCAACAACCCAAAACAAACATCTCCATATTTCCAGTTATTTCTGAGCAGAAAATGAGTTTCTGGGTTTGGCTGCTTTCTCAGCAGGTGATAAAGGTGATGCTATTATGTCATGTAAGTAATTAAAGGTATTTTGCAACGATTTATGCAGTGACTTAGTGAGTATGACCTCGTATTCACTTGAAATCGTAGGGTGGTTTTTTACTTATGTTTTTCCTTAGATGCATTGAACAAGTTTCAATCCCATATAACAAAAGAACTTCAGGTTGCACTTAAATTATGATCTTGTATTGAATAGGGTCGTGGATCAGGATTCCCAGGGAAGCGGAGGCCACGTGGTGCAGGTCTTTCAGGAAGAGGTGGCAGAGGTAGATCAAAACTGAAGAATGGAGTTGGGACTGTAGTCATTCCAGGGGTAAGAATATTTATTTTTAAGCTATGTTGTAATCTGATAACGTAACATAATTTTATTCGGCTGTAATTTTTGTATTAATATGCTATATAAAACCAAAGAACAAAAAAAAAAGCAGAGATATTTGATAAAGCCTGGTTATTATTAAGTGTTTGTGATGAAGAACTAGAGCACTGTAGTTTAATGGACCTGAAGCAATTTTATGCTGCTCTTGCCACTTTAAAGGGACAACTGTTGGGAGCCGTAGGGTACTCCTTCCGTTTCCTGTGGTGGAAAACAGGCTGGGTAAAGGCAGGACTCACTGGAACAGCACAAAGGGGAAAACAATACAAATGTAACAGCAGCCGTAGCAGATCAGACCAAACCTGGTTCTACTCAGGCAAAGAAGACTGAGTGCTGAGGGAAGAGTGCAGAAACAGAAGAGGCCCAGAAAAGGAGATGCTTAAACAGTTTGTGGCTTGGGGGCTTGTTGAACAGCAGGTGGTGTCTTTGTCTTGGGCAGCCTGTGTTGGGGCTTTCTTTCATGGTTTTGTCTATTCACTTTTAAAAACTTCTGGAAACCATGTTAATCTTTTTTTAAGTTCTACCAGCTCATCAGCCTGTTGTTTTAAACTGCTGCCTGCTGTTTACATTGCTTGCTTCTTAGTGCTATTACAGAAGAGGCAATGGAGAGTTGTTTTCTGTTCACCCCCTCCATCCATGCCACTCATTTTCCCTAGATCTCCATCATTTCTCCTCTTTTTCCTTCCACTCTTTTCTTGCTAGCCTGGAAAATCCCAGTATTTTGGGTAGTTTCTTGAGTGGAAGCTATTCCATATTTCTTATCATCCTTGTCAGTTGTTTTTGTCATGTTCATTTTTTTACTTTGCAGTCTTAAAACGGCCTTTTTATAGCCCAGCACTCAGCTTTGTGAAGTTCTTGTGCTGTTCTTCGCAGTTGTCTTTTGGTTTTTTGTTACTGTATCCTGATACTGTTGGCAACCTTTGTCACCTTGCTCCTTGCTTGATTTTTCAGACTGCACACAAATGTGTTGAACACTATGGCCTGTTAGCAGACATCTCCTATCAGGTTTCCACTAGTGCTGTTGCTCTTCATTTTGTGTTTCATGTCAATTCCATTGACCATTCCTTTAGTTCAATGTCAGTTTACCTTGTTTTAAGGACCACTGGAGACAGACTTTCTACTAGGACCTGTAGTGACAGGACAAGGAGTAATGATTTTAAACTAAAAAAGGGTAGACTGAGACAAGAGCTACAGAAGAAATTTTTTACAATTAAGGTGGTGAAACACTGACACAGGTTGCCCAGAGACATGGTAGAAGCCCCATCCCTGGAAAGATTCCAGGTCAGGTTGGATGAGTCTCTGAGCAACCTGATCTAGATGAAGATGTCCCTGCTTTCTGCAGGGGGCTTGGATTAGATGGCCTTTAAAGATCCCCTCCAACCCAAACTGTTCTGTATTACAAAGCACAGAGAAAGCTGCATTTTATATAACAAACTCTCACAAATTTTTGTAACTCAACACAGGGTACTGAGTTAGGTAAACTGCTATAAATAAAAATGGACATTACTCTCCACAGTTTTCTATAAAAACATAATTTTTTGACTCGCAAAGTAAATGTCAGCCTCAGAGTTATAGAGCAGAGGTGTGGCTGTTGTGTGATAGAGCAGATGAAGGCAGCAATACCAAGAGACCAGCCTTTTCACAAAACCACAGAATCTTGGGGGTTGGAAGGGACCTCGAAAGATCACCCAGTCCAACCCCCCTGCCAGAGCAGGATCATCCAGAGCACATCACACAGTTACGTGTCCAGGCGGGTTTGAATGTCTCCAGCGAAGGAGACTCCACAACCTCTCTGGGCAGCCTGTCCCAGGGCTCTGTCACTCTCACAGTAAAGAAGTTTTTTCTGGTATCAGCCGCTTTGTACAAGCTGATTCTTACTCAGCACAGGATCATGACCAGTGAGCAACTACAAAAGTCTGGAAATACCTTGGATATACCTTGGGAATGGGAGAGAAAGTGTCTACTGTTTATCTGAAGCTAGGTCACGGCTGGCGTTAAGCAAACATCAAAATTGCAGTGATTCAGTCCTTCACATTTGTATGTTCAAGCAATTCCAATGACACCATGGAAGAATATGCAAGGGAAAAATTCCCCTTGAATGTATCAAGAGACATTTTGGGTGTTTGTTCGTTAATTAGTTAGTTACAGCTGCAGTGCTCTCAACCATACAGTAATTAAAACCCATTAACAATATATCCCCTTTTTGGCTGTTTTTCAGTAAATGCTGATTTTCAGCAACAGTGTATCAGCAAGATTCCTGTAGCTGTTGTAATGATATTTACATATGTCTCTAGGGTGATGTTTGGATTTGTAAAATATTTGTATTATTATTGAAACAAAACTATCTGTGTAGGACTTAAAGTGTATTTAAAATAATCCACATTGATCAAATTAGAACAGCTGCTAAAAGTTATGTTTCTGTGTCATGCAGTTCTTTTACATAGAGCTGTGTTCTTTTATCTTCCAAGCTTCCATGATGGCTACAGGTTCAGAGAGTAAACAATTAGGCCTGTTAGTTTAGATTCATGGATAGCAAATTATGCATAGTGAAATTTGCCTGAAAGTCACAACACAGCTGAAGTTGTCTTTTCTTGTTTTCTTTCCTGAGAAGTTATATGTCCATGTGTACATTGAATTAATAAAGGGCAGGTCAATCTCTTGATCAAGAATAACTCTCAGGAGTACGGACTTATGGATTGAGATCAAAATTGCTATTTTAAGTTCAATACAAGTTTTTATGGGCAAGATAGATAAGCTTCATAAAGAAACTGCTTGTGGAGAATATCTTAACTCTTGTAGCTTTAGAAATCTTGTTCATTCATTTAGCATATGTGGAATCATGAGTTAAACCACATTTTAGGCAATATGGGACAAATTACATGTCTGCAATTGCTCTTAGAATTAATACTCAAAAGTATGTCACTGCAATTAACTTTCAATGAGAAGAATTTCAGTCTTTATTTGTAGGGAACAGAGCAGACTGGTCACAGTCATGGTGGTTTGCTTACTTGTTTCTTAGACTACCTCTTCCCTTCCATTTCCATTTTAAAGTGCAGTGGGGTAGTGTGTAAAGGTGATCAAAAGAGAGGAGGATAGTGTCTGTAAAAGTGAAATGGTGATGATGCTTTTACTGATGTGAAAATGCTAATTACTATAGTTATTTCTGATGAAGGTAACTTAATCCAAGTTCATACTGTATGAATAAATATTTGCAAAGCTTGTATTCTCCAGTACTGTTAAAAAGTTAATGTATTTAGAGAGTAAATTTCATCTTGACTTATGTCTTAGAAAATGTGACATGCTTACTACTTCTGTTTTGTGTTTTTTTAATAGGTCACAACTATGGATATTTCGTCTAACAAAGATGAGGAAGAAAATTCAATGCATAACACAGTTGTCCTCTTCTCTAACAGTGACAAGTTCACTCTCCATCAGGTTAGAATAATAGCTAATGTATTTTCATTTTCTTCTCTCATTTTAATGAGAAAAAAATAAATTAATGTCCTTGTTAGGGGTTAAATTATACAGCAAGCTACTTGGAATGTACAGTCCTGTGTTTTCAGAATTTAAGTGTCTGGTGTGTGTTTAAAATCTGCTCTTCTCTATCATTTCAGGACATGTGTGTGGTTTGTGGGAGTTTTGGCCAAGGTGCTGAGGGCAGATTGCTTGCCTGTTCTCAATGTGGTCAGTGTTACCATCCATACTGTGTCAGTATTAAGGTGAGTGCTTTTCTACATTAAAAAAATTACTTGATTTCACTGTTTTAATATTGTACTTTAATAGCACTATGCTACCTTTGGTTTTGTGGTAATTAGGGAAGTCATTAACTTGTTAGATACTCGTCAGCTAATGTGACCATTATTTGTATGCAACTTGTGAATGATTTTAATTAAATGTCATTCTGCAGTATGCATTACCTCAAGAGAAATTAACCTTTTTGTAACTTTGCAACCATAAATAGCATTGATTATCCAGAAGTTGGTTAAAATAACAATTTGAGATACAAGCTTAAAACCTAAATACAGACAGGATGAAAAACAAAGCAAAAAATTATACGGCATCTTCATTTACTAGGGGCATAAGGTTTTGTTGATTCAATTTATCTGCTGGCTGTCAGAATTGACAGCAGTTGGAGTGGTTAATTAATACATTTTACATTCATTAGTCTAGGAGAGAATGTGTGAAAATTAAATTTGAATGGTATGAGGTGACTTAGCAAGCACATAATAAGCTATTTACTGCAATATATACACTATGCACACTTTATTGTTTATGACAGAAGTACATTTTTGTAAAAGTAGGATTTTTTTTTTAACATGTCACAAAACTTTATTTTAAATGTACTTTACAAAATTCCATATGGGTATTTCATGCAACTATAATTTGGCCTTGTATTTATGTACTATTCTTACATTATATTTTAATGACAATAAATGAGTTGTTTGCTTCAGATGACTAAAACCACAGCACTGGTTATCACAGATAATTTAGGAAAGATACAGGATTTGTAGTGACCTGGATCCTGGCTTTACTACACAGTTGAAAAAAAGCATCTGTGTGCTCTGCTTCATCCCTGCAGGACCAGTAGGAGTGCACTGTCCTACATGTAGATCCAGTAGAGTATAAAATCTCTGTTATGCTAGCTTATCAATGGCACTTCATAGAGCAGTTTTCAAATAATTTTCACCTTGCTGTTTTGCAGATTACTAAAGTGGTGCTTAGCAAAGGCTGGAGGTGCCTGGAGTGCACAGTGTGTGAAGCCTGTGGGAAAGCAACAGATCCGGGCAGGCTGCTCCTCTGCGATGACTGCGACATCAGCTACCACACCTACTGCTTAGATCCCCCCCTGCAGACGGTTCCAAAGGGAGGATGGAAGTGCAAATGGTGGGTTTAGTTCTGGGTTCAAAAACAGTGACTGCTGGCCTCTTTTGTATCTTTTGTCCGTTCATATTTGCAATGTCAATTGAACTGTAATCGTGTTTTGATTGTATTTGTCAGGCATATTATACAAAGGCAAAAAAACACTTTTGAATTGTTGCATTTGGTTGTCAATTTAGTAGGGAAACTACTGTCTCCCCTTAAAACTGTTTCTTCTTGTCAAAAACCAAGTAGGTAGAGATTGGCAGAATTTTTCTTTTGGAACCCTTAGCCAAATAAAAAAATCCAATTTACGTTCATTCCAATGTTCAGCTGGAAAAATGAATTAATGCTTCACCAAACTGTTGTAAAAATAAACCCCTCTGAAAACCATTTGTGTGAAGGAAACAGAATAGACCTCTCACATGGTTAAATCTCCTTATCTCAAAGCGAATGGCAACTGGAAGCAGGAACTCCTTTGACCTGTTGAGCTTGTTTTGCAGACAGAAGGCAATTCTTACTTAGAAACTTTCTTTAAAAAGTATTTAAAACGTTGGTAATGTTAAAAAAATCTAAATAATACCATTCTTACTCCATTAAAATATTGCTTGACCTGAAATGATTCACAATCACGAGTGATCTAGAACATAATAGCTCACCCAGTTCTAAGTAGAAGGGGTTTAAAGCCACAAAACAATCTTCCTGTGAACTGAGAGTAATAGGGTTGTTCTGTCTGTTCTGCAGGTGTGTTTGGTGCAGACACTGTGGAGCAACTTCTCCAGGCCTAAGATGTGAATGGCAAAATAATTACACGCAGTGTGCTCCCTGCGCGAGCTTGTCTGCCTGCCCCATCTGCTACCGCACCTACAGGGATGAAGAGCTTATAATTCAGTGCAGACAGTGTGATCGGTAAGGATTTCTGATCTTTTCCAGGTTTTTCCTGTTTTAAGGCTTATTTTCATTTCACCCCCCCTCCCCAAATGCAAAAGCATAAAGATGAAGGAAATGGTCTTGTGGTAAAGAGCGCTGGATTGAGTCTCAGAAGTCTCTTACTAGTTCATTCTTAGTTGTACCACAGACTTAACTGTATAACTTAACTATATAACTATAAAATTATTTAATCACTCTGTGCCTCATTTTCCCCCCCTGAAAAAAAATAAAACGAATTTACTTTACAAGACTGTTTTTGTGAGGCTATATCTAAATTACATTGTCTGAAGTAAGTAGTTAAAATGATTGCATTACAGGGAGAAAATTACAATATTAAGACATATTTGCTTCCGGGACATTGTTTTGTAGAGATTTCCTTCCTGTGAAGGGAAATAGGTGATATGATACTGTTATACAGTATTTAACACACACCACTGTAGGGGAATGCTGTATGCAGAGAACCTGATTCATCATTTCTCCCTAAAATAATTTAAACTAAACAAGTATTTCACGTTTACTTGGACCATATACTGATATTTGGGTCTCCTAAAACACCACATATTTCCTTTAAATTGTATTTTTTCCCCCACTTAATTTCTAGATGGATGCATGCAATCTGTCAGAACTTAAACACAGAGGAGGAAGTGGAAAACATAGCTGATATGGGTTTTGACTGTACCATTTGTAGGCCATACATACCACCAACAAACGGTAAGAAGATGATTGAAACCAATGGCAGGATTGCACACTGCAATAAGTAGGTTTGGGAATGTGTGATGGTTCTTTCCTCAGGTGGAGATTTGGCTCATGGCAGAAGCAAGATTTTTTTGGTATTTATTAGAAGGGCCTTCTAGTGATTGGTTGCAAGGCAGGGGGAATTGTGGATAGATGTATTGAAGATAATTTGGGGAAATTACTAAAAGCATTTGGCATTGAAAAGGTAAAAGGCTTCTTACTTTGTCAAGTGGAAGGAAGAAAGCCCAGTTCTGCAGGAGAATCTGAAAACCAATTCCAAGCAAAAAAACTTTGTATATTTCAATACTTGGAGCCTGTCTGAAGCAGCAGTAGCTGTAAACAGTCCATATAAGCATTTTTCCCCTTTTCTCTTATGTTTTTGCCACTCCCTCAGCTCTTCCAGTGTTTAAGACCAGTGCTTCTCCCCGCCCCCAGCTGTGGTCTTTGAAAGAATTCACTGTACTTTCCTGCTTGGGAGTTGCCACTTTTTTGTAAAAAGGTATAGTTCTTTCTGAAGAACTGTGCTCTTCTCCACACACATTACCAGTGAATATGAACAATCAGCTTCCTCATTAGCCTGGATGACACAGTTCTGTAGCAGTGATACTTCAGGAGCTGAGCTAGAGTTCTCTCTTTAAGCACAGCAACAGCATCTCTTTGTGTGGGATGGAACTGGTTGCTGTTACTGTGAGTGGCCTGTCAGCATTTTGACCTATTACATGGTTGATGGCCTTACTACAAGGGTGGCATCCCAGGTCTGTGTTCTCTGCATGTCAGCTCATGCGATTTTCTGCTTCAGGCTGCTACTTTAACCAAGCATTGACACCTATACCCATTTTTAGCCTAATACCACATTACAGTGTTCATATTAACCCTTTATTGAGGGTATCATGAGAGTGTGGTAGGAGGAAGGTGCAAAGAACTAAACAAATGTTTCAAGAAATACTTGTATCCACCATGATGGTGTCAGCAAGATGTCAGCTTTCCTGATCAAGATTGAAGGTATCATGAGGCATGTGTTCAAGTGGTCTGCCAAAAAAAGTTCAATGGAGGATATCATGTCCCCTTACACTGACATGTCCTCATAGTGGTATGGCAGTAATTGTAACTTACTGACATGACCTTGGACATTTATATACTACCTTGTCAACTACACACGGTTGTGGAACACTTCCACGCATCCCAGTTTTATCACTAATAGAAGTAAAATGACTGATGCTTATGTATTTTCACAAGTCACTTCGTTTTTGAGATTTGCTTTCACAAATCCAAAAGGAAGGAGGTTTTGTGAGTGAGAAAAACAAGAACCTTGCTTATATAACACAGTTTTTTGTTTATTTTGATATTAAGATTTGAGCACTTTAAAAGGTCCAACTAAGAAATACTGCCTCTTCCTTTCACTTCTGAGCTGTCAGAGCTACCTCTTAGAGATGATTAAAGCCCAAAATACGTGAGACAGAAAAACTTCACAGGATGGTGTCAGAGATGTTTCACTTCCAGGCATAAACTTACCCCTGAGTTAGTCCTTCCTTCATGAAGTTGTGCTGCATAGGTTTGTCTTCTGGGGAATAGGAACCAGACCCACAAGACCTGTTAAGGAGCTTCCAAGCTTTCTTTGCAGATTTTTTTCACTTTTTTTTTTTGAGACAAGTTTCTCTGCTTATTCTTCCATGTATTGACTCAGTATATATAGTACCTCTTTAACATGTGTACATTTGCACAGTTGCATGTCTGAATATGTCGTTTGATGCATGGTCATAGAAATACTTGCATGTACTTGTATACTGAAATGTTTCAGTCTTTCATTAATTCTTTTACAACTCCTTTGAAAATTTTCTATAATTTTTTTTTTGTTTCCAGGTGAGAACAATTAGCATTTGATAAACTCAGGGGAACAAATGTTAGTTAATGGTAGAAAGCTTTTAAAATGTATCATATTGTGGGTTTCTTACTGGGATGGTTCTTGCTCTTTCCATTTGATGTATCAGAGAGGATATTAAAAAATTTTTAACTATTCTTTAGAAGAAGGAAGAGACCCTTAACCTCATAAATTACCAGTACATTGCAGATTTACTGTTGGTGAAGAGTAAATACTTGGAGCCTGTAGGTATTGAGAAGGAGCCTCCATTTTTCTTGCTTCAGAAAATAGAAACACTTAAACTTGTAAGATCTCTTCCCCACCTCATCTTAAGAATCTGATAATCTTACAAAGACATTTTCAGGAAACCTAAATTAAAGATTTTATTTTTTTTTTTCTTCTTCAACATGCATAAGTATCAAAAGCCAGATTGTGGCAAGATTTGCTCCAAAGTAGTATACCATAAACCTTAATTACTAGATTCTTTTGAAATAAGTGATCTCTGATTGAGTTCCTTTTAGTATGGTCTCAAGTTATAACATACATCCTCCAGCATATTGCTGTGCCTTGTAGAATTCTTTTCTAATTTAGATTGCTTGAATATTACCATGACTGGGTACTAGCAGCTGCTGTAGGTAGCAGCAGCTTTTCCTCTGTGCTCTAATTCCTGGATATTCAAGAGAGGTATGTGCATCTCCCATCTACATCCACTCCTAGACAAGCAATTCTTGACCATCAACCCATCACTTCTTCCTTTCTATCATTTGCCCTTGTATGTCATATACCTCATTTGCAAATTTCATCCCTTCCTCACATACTCCCCTGCTCTCTCCATCCACATACTCCAGCTTCCTCCTCACTTGGTGGTGTTCTTCTTTCTCCGCAAAAGACAAAGGAACCAGCTCTGCCTGGTTTTTCTTCAGCTAGTTAGAACTGATCTGGTAACAGTTTCTGGTAGCTGGCTGTGGGCATGTATTCCTTCTGCAGCTTGAGTAAACATGCCCAGAGTGAGGAGGTTCTCAATACTGCCTGTGATACACACATTATATGGTTCGGAGCCTCTTTTGTACCATTTTTCTGAAGCTGAATTACATTTTTCTTCATTCTGAAACTTAATTCTGTGTACTTTACAAATACAGCATACAAAAGCAACATATATGGTCCAAGTTAAATTTTTATCTTTTGTATGTTTATATTTTTTGGCACATTTATGATGTCACCTCTAATTTTCTTTTAAGTTACTGTATTTACAGAGAAATCCCTGTGTCAGGCACTGTTCTGCAGGCATCCTGCAGTGCTCTGTTAGGGTTGTGTTTCTGCATCAACCATTTTGCTCTGTCTCTTACATTGATGTCATTTTGTCCTAGAATTGTTCTGTTCTATTACAGCCTTACAAATGGCAGATCCCTTTATTTTCAAACTGTGATTGTTCTCATTGTATTGTATTCTGTGCCATTATTTGTTTTCATCTGAAGCTACTAAATGCTGTACAATATTCAACATGTTTAAACTCTTGCAAATAACTAATACTTTTGGTTAAACTTAAGCTAAGTGCCTCAGAAAGCACATTTTCATTCATTTTTAATTTTTTTTTTCCCTTGAACAGTCTCTCTAATGGTATTGTGTTTCTCTGTTACCCATTTTGTTGATTTTAATCCCTCATCTGCAGTCTGATTAGCTCATTTTCTGGAAGTTTGTTTGATACTGTCTTCAAACACTGTTTGTTTGTGCAGCTTTTGTGAGTTGGTCTCTGAAGGCCTCACCTCTGTCAGTATCAGCTTGTTTATTTGACTATTTCAACTCCGTGGCAAATCTTACAGGGACCAGAAGAACACTCTCTGTTGTTTGGCTTTTAGAGAAGGCTTTCAAATCCACATTCACAGCTATCTTTCTGAATTTTTTATTTACCTTAGATTCAATAATTGCCATCTCTGTCCTAAAACATCTTGTAAATTATAACCAATTAAATGAACAGATGACATCTTATTTCACTTCAGGTATTTCTTACAATCTGCCTTTTTATTGCTTCAGTTCTGTACTTTGAGCATCTTCAATCCTACAGCGTGTCCCGTATGTTTTTTGTTTCCCTGCAGCTCAGTGTCTCTTTCAAAATCTCATTTTCAATTTATTTTTTTCCTTGACTTTTCCATCCACATCTGAGTATGAGTTTTTCAGTAATTCTCGCTTTCATTTACTGCTTTCATTTACTAATTGCATAGAATATTTGGTTTCTGTAGGTTATATCATATATTCTGTATACACCTTACATAAAACATTTAAAGCACTGTGGTTTTTGAAGACAGACTTTCACTTTCCTTAGTTTTTTTTATATGCTTAGAAAGCACCCTGTAGGTTTTCATATTTATTATTGTATTTAGCAAATAATTTAATTGTTACTTGGAAGCTTTGGTGCTTTTCTTAGTCTTGCCCCTGACTCCCACATTGTGTGTGAGATGGGCAGCAGCAGCACACATGCAGTGCTCTGACACGTCTGAGAAACACTGAATCTCTCACATGTGCTTTGTCCCAGTGGGCTCATTTTGTGTGGCAGGTGCAAAGTAAACACTCCAGATGTTTGTCTGAGTCTTATGTTCAGCATAGAAAAGTTTTCTAGGCAAAAAAAAAGAAAAAGATGGTAATGCTAACCATGCCAAACTAACAGGTTTTCTGATTCTAGTTCTGAGTGTTTGCAAGATAGAAGCTTCTAATTTTCACTTTACTGATGCTGTCTACATAATCTCTGTCAATACTAAAAGTCTAGTCTGCACATCAGAGGTTAGGAAGTGTGATTACAGTTATTGTAATTAAGGCAGATGGGAAGAGCATTTCAACCCACAACAACAGTAGCCTGTTGTTGTAGGACATTTTGGTCATTATTCGTTCCGGTGCCTCCCTGAAGCACACAAGCTGTAGTTCTTGAGTTTCTGCTGTTGCATTTATCAGTACTCTTACCTTGAAGAAGAATTACCCTATCTAACTTGAACAAGTCACATATCACCTGGTCTGAGATATATCAGCCTTATTTTGTTTCTCATACATGTTGTGTAAGAGGACTGGGAGCACAGACACAGCTGGAGTCTTGCATGGAAAGCTGTCTCAGTGTGCCTGCCCCTCCTTGGGGAATGCAACACCAGTCGATACCCAGTTCACAAAGCCCTCCCATTTTTCTAACCTAGGTCAGCAAAACCAGGATTTCATGACTAGTGTAGATGTTACTTTCCGATCCAGTAGATGCAGTGTATTCATTTGCCCTTGGTCTAGTAAAAAGAGATCATTTACCATCAAGTTCAGTGCTGTTCCAAAGCCATTCTTGGCTCTAGAAAGTTGGAGAACTTCAGAACTTTGTATCAGGCCGTCTTCTAGTCACATCTTCTGTGGCACTGAAAAGCACCTTATTTTAAAGGTGCTAGTGAATGTTGCCAGTACCATAAATTAGGGATTTTAACAGAGATGCTTGAAGGAAACTTAATTGCTAGTTTCAGTTTCAATCAAGTCACCATTTTTAAAAGTTGAAATTATTTTCCTTATATTTTTCAGTGCCTTCTTTGGACTGTTGTGATTCATCAGTTGGAGCTCAGATTATTTCAAAATCAAAAGAACTAGGTAAAGAATGTAAATGCTTAATCTTTGATCATTTAGTACATTTGAAGGGTATATTTTTACATGAGACAAAAATTCCCTTTTCTATGATTTTATAACACACAGCATTAACTATCCCTCAGTTACCACAGCATGCATTTCTTTCTTTTTTTTTTTCCTCTCATTCTCTCTTCCTTCTTCTTTTGCCTGCCATTCCTGCACTAAGATAATTACTTTAAATTATGCTTTGATCCTGCAGACTTAGTTGCTTACCCTAATATTATCGGTGTTAACAAAGTGGGGCTGAGTCAATCATGTGTACAGGCTCAAATTGTAGGAAGACACAAGTTTTATTATTTGTCTGATGTGTGCTAGGAATTTCTACTCTTGACAAGCCTGCTCACAAGCCACTTATTATAATGATAGTACAAACAGCTTCCATCATGTCAGAATTTTTTTGATTTGGTACCACACAATTATAGTTCTGAGAGAAGATTCTCCCCTCAAATCTTCAACCTGAAAAAGAATACGTGATTTTTTTAAAGCAAGCACCCTTTTTTAGTTCTATATAAGAAAACAGTCATCTAGGAATAATTGTGTTCAAAACCAGCTGTGTTTTGAGGGGTGAGCTGTAACATAAAATGGTTTTGGCTGAAAGGAACAAATGCTTTGATGTTCGTTTTCAAAACTGTTATCAAATAATTTAATTGGCTCGTAAGAGCAGAAGCATCATTTTAGCCTCTTAATTATTTGGTAATTCCCGGAAAAATCCCAAACTTCAACTTGCAGGGCCCCAGCACAGGTGACAACACTGTTCTACATGGTGAATTAAGGAATGGCAGAGTTTATATGTAGCAGCTTGAGGAAGAAGCAGTCGTGCAGATCTTGGGAGATGGGTTGTCCCCATGATTTCCAATTTGCTCTTGAGCAGCTCACTTGGTGTAACTTGTTTTTTGTCTGCCTACAAAATAGGGTTGATAACTTGCCTGAGTTACCAAAAGTTCTGGGAGGCTTAAAGTCGTTAATAAGATGATGGTACAGTGCTGAGGGCTGTGTGAGGTCCTTGGCTGGTAGGCAACAAGGAACCAAACTAAGACTTGCACAGATTCCTGTGAGTGCCAATGGTACAGAAATACCCTGGAGGGCGCCAGTTTCTGTGATCAAATCACTCTTTCAAATGAGTCCTTGATGTAAGTTGTTTTTGTAGCAATAGAATGGATTGTTGCTGGATTTGACATCAGTCCCTAAATTATAAAGCTGTATCTGTAACATGTTAGACAGTATCAGATATCTCTGTTTTATTTATACCAAGTTCCTCACTCATGAATCAGCTCCATACATGCGGATTATTAACTCTTAAAAGTGCTATTCCTAAGCATCTAAGACTTGTAAATTAAAGAGTTTTATATTGCTGTTATGATTCATTTAACTTTTATAGACCCACCAAAGACATACACCCAGGATGGAGTCTGCTTGACAGAATCCGGCATGTCTCAGTTACAGAGCCTAACTGTTACAGTACCAAGAAGAAAACGGACGAAACCAAAGCTTAAACTGAAGATTATAAATCAGAACAGTGTGGCTGTGCTTCAGACACCCCCAGATGCCCAGTCAGAGCACTCAAGAGATGGGGAGATGGATGACAGTAGAGGTAGCAGTCTACTTTTGGCATGTCTTGTATCTTGGAGTGTTGCAGTACATGTGTATATTGGAGATATCCTGGGGAGTTTTTATTATACTGGTACTCTCATGTTCTGTACAGAATGCTTAATGAAAATTACTTGGACAATAGTTGTGGCTTGTTTTTATCCATTTCAGGGATTTTTCTTGTTGTTCTGTTTGTGGGTCATCCATCCTAGAAAATCACCTTTCTAAGGCTGGCAACACTGGAACTGCAAGTTGCCTTTTTGTGAAATCCTTGCATTACCAGTGGGAAATATTGTGTAACCCCTGAGTACAAGTGCATTTGGAGGCTCTCAAATTTAGTACAAACACTGTTTGAAAGTGGTAACATTGTCTCAGCAAAGCAACATCTGAATGACTGGAAAGCTGGTGTTGAAAAAGAAGGGGAAAGTAGAGTAAAAAGCTCTTTGCTGGGAGTATTTATTTTTTTATGAAAGAAATTAGGTGGGCTGACCTGAGGCTCCAAGGAAAAAAATAATTTCCTTTTGTTTCCCTAGACACAATGAACATTTTGCTTGTCCTCATCTCCAAAGTAGAATTTAGTCAGAATTTGAGATTGGAAGTGAATTCTGGGTGTTGCCTTAGTTCAAGTAGATGACACCTAGGTAGAATCCTACTGCATGATTTCAGGTTCTGGTATGGGGAGTTTGTGTAGTATGGAGTGAGGGCAGGAAAGATTTAACAATGTTTTTGTGGACTGATGAGAGATGAATGGATCTGAGCTAATGTTTGCCTACCCAAATACATCCGCATGTATGGGAATGAAGTGTTAGGCTGTGGTAGAAGCCCCTGGGAGAGCTCCTTCCACCCCAAGTCTAGCCATGGAGTGAAGATCCATGCACCGCGGCACCACTGGTACTTGTCTCATCTGCTTCCCTTGCAGCTGAGCAAGCAGGCCCAGCCAGAAGAGACTAAAAGTAGAGATGAGAGTGGGAAAATTACATAGGAGCAGCCAGCCCCACTCTTCAACTCTAGGAGCAGCAGCCAGCGTGATGCAATACCATTCTCCTGTCCTCCTTGCCATAGTCCTGCTGTGCATCCTGATAACTGTGTTGGTAGAATAGGTGTTAAACCTTAGCCTGGGGAAAGGCTTACTTGAACAGCAGGTGTGAAACTCACTAAATTAGTTGTCCAGGTGTCTGTTACAGAGGAATACAGGCACCTCACCTCACCCCAATCTAAAGTGCTTGCTGTTTATGCAACATTGCCTCATGGTTAATCAGATGAAATGTCATAAGAAGCTTTTTTTAGATACAGAGAGTGTACTTGAGATAACTGTGTATTTTAACCATCAGTGCAGTTTCTGTGTTAGCTTGTTGACATGAGCATTGTTGTCATTGTTTGATTAGCACGTTCTTGACTGACTGCTGTTGACTAGAAGTGTATTTTTTAAATAATAACTTCCCTTTATTTGTCTATAACCTTTCCAACAGTTAACTAGTTAAGGTTTGGTACATTGTCCAAGCATTACACTGCCTGTTAAATTTCACCTCGTACTTTAATATAGTCCCTCAGGTGGGTTGATAAAAATCTTTTGATTTTGGTTTGAAGGCATCAAGATAGAAAAGTAACCACTTATCATGTTCTTTTTCAGTGGTAAATCATCTTTACTTTTGCAAATGTGCCTGTCTTCTACACAACTTTGTCTAACTTCATTATCAGATTGCTGGCTTTCATAGGTATCCCTTATCAACTAGATAACAAGATATATTAATGTAATAGCAGAGTATGAAAGGGAGAGCCAAAGCTTCCACAGACTGTAGTTTCAGTTCTCATCACCTTTAGTTGCCTTTTTGAGAGTTAAGAGCACATTCATATATGTGACAGTAACAGCACAGCATGTACACGGTGGATTGGCTGGATTTCCTGGAAGCTCTGCATGTTCTCAGTAGATGGATCAGTGCCTGTTCTCTGCACGTCTGAAGTTTTTGTATGGGCATCAGGATGAGGAGAGCTGTGCCACAGCTTTGATTGGAGCAACATAGTGTAGTAATTCCAGGCAAACAGGAATAACCCTTGCTTTCACTCCAAAGTTCCAGATGGAAAAGAAACTGTATCTGAGAAAACGGAGCTCATGGTAATTTTGTTACCATCTCATCTGTAGGTTTTCATCAGGTTTGACAATTCATCAGATGTTCTACATTTTAGAGTCCACTTGAAAGTTCAGCTTGCTCTGGGAGCTTCAGCTTGGTTAGGCTTAATGTGGCTCTTCTGCTGCTATTTGTAGAGCTCTATTTTGTAAGTGGGAAGGACCACTGTGGGTTTGGCATTTGGCACCCTGCTCTGTGTAGCTGGACACCTTGGCGCTCAAGCAAGTTCTCTTCTGTCAGAAGTGGACACATTGCTATCATTTGTGCTCTGAAGGGGGGGAGGGAACTGGCTGTGGTGGTCACTGGGAACAGCTTTTGCCAAGCCACCAGCTTTGTTGGTAGAACTCAGAAAAGTCTTCATCGATGGGAAAGGCTGGTCTGTGACCCAGCCTGTGGAAGAGCAAGGGTTGTAGTTCTACCACAGCAGAAGTGGTATGAAAGAGTCCAGCAATGTCTGTTCCAACAGTATTTCTCCCTCTTACAACAGCATGTGGTTTTAGACCATATGAAATTGTACACCTAAATCCAAAGCAGGGAATCAGAAATCCAGTATCTTTTCAGAGGTGAGAGTGTATTTAACATGTTTCAAAAGCTTTACAACAAAATGAACATCTAATTTCATTATTATACTGACATTTTGGGGATATCTAAAACAGAATTAATTCACTCTTTCTTCAACACCAAAGGTTTTTTAATGCCATCATACTTTACATCTGTTTCTACCCCGCTTTCCTACATAATATAAATGCAAACTCAAAATTACAATCTTCATCTTCAAGGCTGAGTAATTCTGATGAGCTGAATTTTCCACTATATAAGTCAAACTCCTCTGCATTGATCAGCCTGCTTTCAGACAGTCACACAGCTTCAAGTCAAGAACCCTCCAAACTGAGTGACATTACATTACCTTTCAAGTGGAGGCTGCAGTTTTTCAGTCTTCTCAATAAAAAATAGCACTACCAAACAAAACTCAAGACAGTAAACAAAATGTAATGTATCTTGCATGTTAGATGGTATTCATCATCCATGATGTTTGACTGAAAATTGCTCAGACACTTAAAAAATGCTATAGCACAGGCTTCTGAAAGGGGTGTCAATTTTTTTTATCAGATTCACTCAGAGTAAAATAGCATTTATTCTCTGGTTTTGTGTAGCCATCATCTTGCAAAAAACATGTATACACTAGGTCTTTGTCTGTAGATAGGGTAGGTGTCCCAGAAGTGTTCATAGAGTGTGTCTGTCACCCTTTTGAAAAATCTGTCATTCTTCATCAGTTCCGCAGAAATCGGTCCGATGTAGAAATTTTGGAAAAAATACTTACTTTTCCAGTTAAAGTTACCATTGCCTCTTTTCTGCAGAAGGTGACCTTATGGATTGTGATGGAAAATCAGATTCCAGCCCAGAACGGGAGGCTGTGGATGATGATACCAAAGTGGCAGAAGGAGCCGATGGGATTAAAAAAAGGAAGCGAAAACCATACAGACCTGGTAGGATATAATAATTTATACAATTGTGTGTCTCTTGTTTGTTTTAGCACTTCAAGCAAATGTTAGAAGATAGCATGGAGTTCTGAAGTATTCTCCTGCTAATTGGTGATCTTAGATTTTTTTTCTCTGTTCTGTTTGAAACAATTTTTAGTCCTTTTATCAGAATGCATTTCCAAAGGTTGCTGTTCAGCA